GCAAGCGAGCGCATGCTTACGAACACACTCACACATACATATGTATGTACATCTTTACTTTCTACAATCGAATACCGGTCTAGCGCATAGTTGCATTTGCATTGCCGAAGAGAGCTGAGCTGTGGAGGGCCATGAAATGCAGGCGGAGGTTGTGCCGGTTTTGTGTTCGCCGGCCGGCCGGCATTTGCCACAATTATGTGCACACACACACGCACACATACATTTGAAACGCTTGGGGCTGGCATGCGCTCGAATCACTCTAGGTTAATTTTAGCGAGTGAATGAGAAAAAAACCTTACAATACAAAGCTTTATCATTGCACTAAAGGCACATATTTACATTGCGGTGTAGTTATATCCATACATATTTACATTTTTTCATATTACTTTTACTACTCAGCTGTTTAACCTTTCAATGCATCTGCGAACCGCGAATGAGCTCATAGTTTGCTTGCCTTCAGTTTTGTATTAAATTAAATACATACATATGTACAATACAAATATATTATAGCGTGTGAATAAGGCAACAAGATAACGTGGTAACATTTCGAGCTTGTCGGAAGATTTATTGCCGATCGGATGATTTAGAAAATGTTTCAATCTTTTAACACCAATTTTTTGGTACTACCATTACATATTTGATGTAGAAGTTTGTACCTACGTATGAGCTAGAGTTTAGAAAAAGGAGATGATTAGAATTATGCTATGGGTGTCATCATTCGTAACTCTAAACAAAAAAAGCAATACTAAGCTTCCTATAGCGTAATAAGGTATAAAAAGAGGTAAAAAGGTTCAGTTCGTTTGGCAGCTACATGCTAGAGTGGTTCGATATCGCCAGTTCCGACAAATAAGCAGCTTCTTAGAGAGAAAAGGATGTTCGTAAATTTTTAGGTCGATATCTCAAAAATTGAGAAACAAGTTCGCATAAACATATACCAACGCAAAGACGGACATATTATTCTAGACATAGATGTATTAGAAGCACAAAACACTCGAACAGAGCAAACGCAGGACTAACGAATTTTAGATCCTTCGCAATCATCATTCTTGCTCTGGAGTGTTGGAGTAAAAAAGAATTGGGATCTTTACAATTGAAAGTTTGTAACAGTATAAAGCAAAACTCTCCAAAATTTATAACATAGACGGATTTGACCCATTCGCTCCCTAGTAAAGCAGAATCGGTAAGCGATACGGTAAGTACGGTCGTAGATGGTTGTAAAGTGTGAAACAGTTTCTGGCGCAGGTATTTTCTATTATTCGTGACCTAAGTAGATATAGAAGAAAGTCGGGAACACGAGAGTCGGGTCTACGTAACCGATCCGCAATTTTATCCGGCCAAGTGCGGTGAACTCGGCAGCATTCCTCGAAATTATTAAAGAAACGTAAGTTAGAAAATCTATTGAACTTGAGGCACCACATATAAACAATACTTAATTAAAGGAAACTCACTATGATGGCTGGGGTCACCTCACCTCAGCGCATGCACCAAGACGCATTTTAGCCCGAAATTAATAGAATATAGGACATGTACTGAAGACACAGCAGAGACGAAGCACTTAGCATTCATAAAGCCAACGCTTTATTTTCAAAATGATTGATAATATAAAATGACTATTGAGAGAGCTGAATCTTACATTTTAATGCTGGTACTCCGCATCTTGTAATCCCAAATGCATACAATCAATATATAGGACTTTGAAAATGGTCTAAATATGTTTCGGAACAGATATTCTGAGCCATATATAAATATTCTTATGACGAACAATAAAATTAACAGCTTCAACGTATAATTTTTAAATCTGAGAGGACCACCAGGGTGGTGAACGAGGACAAATACCTGGTGGTCACCCAAATGTTCCTCGCGTCTTGATAACTACGTCACTATTGGCAGCTATTAATTTGAAAAGTCCCGTCCTATTATATAGTATAGAAACATAGCACATAGAGCTTTCAAGAGAATTGTTCTACGTAAAGGTCTTTTAAGTCATTTGCGTGAGCGATGAATATCGAAGAAGATAGAACAACGTGACATGGATATCGTTAAACACATAAAAATCCAACAAAACCTATGGTTAGGCCAGGGAAAAGCTCACTCGAATCAAGACACATGATTGGACAACAGAAGCAAGGGCGTCCATGCATCTAAAGCAAGGATCAAGTGGATAGCGACCGGTATGAACTTGGGATGTGCAACTGGCGTGACAATGCAAAGGATAAAGGCAACTGGCGAAAATTTGTGTTCTCGGCCCAGACCGACCCACGGTTGTAGAGCCAAAGGAGAAGAAGAAGAATGATGTGTAGAATGGTTTCATCCAACAGATTTATTTCTGTCAGTTAGGTATGATCAATTTTTTATAAGATTCATCTCGCACTATTATTGCTAAATACTAAAAAATATTTTCAGCTCTGCTGTCACTAAACTGCATGAGTACTCGCTTACTCATGCTAACATGCATGCAAACGTTTGGATATACTTATACATGTTAGATACCAGAAGTAATCATTTGGCACTCAGAATGTGCTATATTTTAGACTAAGTGCGTGTAGTCTGTGAAACGAAAACAAAAAGTTTCAATTTATATTTGCAAAACTCCGAACTTTTCGCACTTGTTTACTTAAGTCTTTGTTTATTCTTTGTTCATTTCCTTATTGCTATTTTTCACCTCGAAAAGTACACAAAACCGCCAGCTGCATTGTGAGTATTTTCAGACAATGCACACTAAATATATTTGGCAGACAAAAATATATGGCAGCCGAAGAAGCAGCAGCCTTGCAACAAAGGAAAGTAGAGAAATTCCAATGGGTCCAATGCAGACCAGAGTACAACGAAAATTCACACACACACATATATATATATTTATATATGTTATATGAATATATAAATATATATATATATATATGACCAAAGGTTCGCATGAGTGTGCAAATATTTATATGAACTAATAATGGTCATTCTCTAGAATAAACGCTCGCCGCATCGGTCATTACAAAACTTGCTTTAGTCATCTTAGATTTTCCTACAAATACACACATATATGTATGCGTGTATGTAGGCTATCGTATGCATATGTGTATGTAGGTGAATTTGTGTGTGAGTACATTGCACTTTCAAAAATTTTCACTCTGCCTTTTTTCGCGTATCCGACGCCTGCTTCGAAAGCTGCTCCTCTGGCACAATCTCTTCCACATCGCCGTTCATACGCTCAGTATTTATTTACCCATATTTATTCTATTTCTGTACCAAACGAAATTTTTCATTAGTTTGGAAAATGTAATAGCCTTTTGCTCAATTTGTTTTTACTTTTACACATTTTTTTTCGTTTTTGGGTGGGCAAGTAATATTTGGTGGAACTTAGTCATCGTCACTGTCAGACGATTTTCCATAGAATTTTCTTTTTCTGTAAATGTACATACATGATGAGCTATGTAATGAGTCATGATGAGAAAAACTTTGCTTCATTTTTGTATGTTTATTGCATTTTTTGCGGTTGAAAATTTTCAAAAATCATGTACGAATCTGTTGGAGCGTATACTAACGATCTTCTTAATGTTTTTGAAATTGTTTTTATTGGTGCATAAAGGTACATTTTATTAATTTTACAATTTTTATGAACACATCAGAAATATGAAAATTTGGCAGAGATTTCGTGCTCAAATCATCATCTTTAGACATAATTTTGTGAAACAACATTAGGAGGGTCCTCAAAAAATTAAATCAACGAGAAAATTAAACTTTCATTAAATTTTAGTGTTAACCAATTCAACCCTAATACATAAAAGTACCAACTGATCAAATTTAAACCGCACTGAAAAATAAATAAATTTTCCGACATTTTAATATATATAAATATCAACTACTTTCATTAAATAAACGATTAGTATCAACCAATTCATCAGAAACGCATGAAAGTACTAGCTGATCAAATTTGAACCGGAGTGAGAAAAAAAACAAAAGTTTTTCTTCATTTTAATATAAATATCCGCTACAGATTTTTATTCCAATTTATAACTTCTAAAGCATATATACAATTGTCGTTAAATGTCGAAGTTTTTTACAGAGTCTAAAGTAGAGATTTCATCAAACATAAAGCCCACTAACTTAAAAAAATATATCTGATATTTTGACGAAAGAAATTTTTATTGAAAATTTGGTTGTTTTTTTCGATTTTAGCTCAAAACTAAGTTTTCTTATACCTATATATCGCTTAACTGCTTCAATTATCTACAATTGACACTCAATCTTATGGTTCTTCGACTACAGAAGTTTCGGTTGAAGTTTAAATAATCTGCTTTAAAAATTTCTTGCTAAACAATAAGAACACCCTATTGTTATATATGTATATACATTTTTACAAACAAAAAAAAAATTTCGTAATTGTCAACTCAATTACTCAATTTTTTTTTTATTTACGAAGAAAGCATTGTTTTGACTTATCCTAAAAAAAATATCATAATTGTCAACTCAATTACTCAAATTTTTTTTTATTTACGAAGTAAACATTGTTTTGACTTATCCTATGACTAGTCCATCTTAACGACACTTTCCATGGCCAAATATCATAATTGACGAATGGTGTCATTGATTCGTGAAATTTTGAAAATCAATCATAGCCACTAACAAAAATTGAATGATGTATCGTTGCAGGCTTGCTGCAGTCTTCTCTTCCTACATCCGAAGCAAGTTAACAACAACAAATTCTAAGATATTAAATTAGCATTGTTGCCTACTTTGAACCAGTTATAAACATTTTTATTTGCATTTGCATGCGTATGTAATTTAATATCACGGTATCGTATCTTCAACTACTAATTCAAGGTAATGCCAATGTACAATACAATTACACAAAGCTGGTAATTAAAAACAAATAAAGTTGCTCAAATTACATACACATTACACATGCTACAATTAATTATACAGTGCAACACAAACACATATATAAAAGTAATTTTTTTTTTTTTTTTTAAAAAAGGCAATGTCTTTGAACTTTCATATAGTATTACCTTCGAGAGGTACGAATTAATCCAATTAGTAAATGTCTTCTTCTGCACACGTTCTTGCTCCTCTGTAATAAGAATAAGAAAAATATTGTATTAGTTGCTAAACCAGTTATTGGAACAACATTATTTACATATTTATATAAAGTGTAAATATTTTTTTATTGACTGCCTAATCAAACGCTAAATATTTTTCAAATAAATCATATATTTAAGATATTCATACTTTTTTTTATTGTTTGTTTTTGTTTTGCATTTAGGTATTGCTTTATTGATAAGTTATCGCTTAGAATAGTCGTTTGTTTGTTAAAGTAATTAATTAAAAAATTAAAATTTGAATATAACTTTATATATAGTGAGAATACAATATATTTCATAAGATATTTTAAACCAAGACTGTTCTTGTATGCTTGTATGTCTTATTGGTTATTTTATGTGTATAAAAATTTAAAAAAAATAAACTTTATTTTTGTTATAACTCTTGGTTTTCTATTGAAAAACATAATTTTTAATAATATAGAAAACTATATGAATTTAGAAAAATCCTAAAGAATATCGTGGAAGGGCACGGAAATTCATCAGGACTTACAAAACCTTATTACATACTGGAAACTTATCATCATGTATGGTTGTGTCCAGTTTTATAAATTATTTATGTAACAGAAACAAATTTTCTAGATATTCTCTTCGAGATTTTTATTAATAAAGTATTTAAAAATCATTGAGATTCTGAATCTAAATTAAAAGCTAAATAAATATATATAATATATATATAAATAAATAAATTTCTTTAAAAAACCTAAAATTTGCAGAGTACCATTTGTATGACATTAGACTAGCGATACTCCGAGAGAGAACTATAAGGAAACTATCAAAGAGCTAGAGTAATGCAATAGACAACGGTACTTGTAAAAAAAGAGTGAGTTATTTTTAATTGTTTTGAACAATTTTTGTCAACTTGAATTTAGGCCAGTGCAGAAGCCTTTAAAAATGGTAAAAAGCGAAAAAATTCATAGCAAGTTGAAACACATTGGGAAAGTAAAATGATTTAGTAAGGTTTTTTTTTGCATTTACTAAGAAAACTTACCATAGTAGTGTATATATTTTTTAGACCAACAGAAAGTAGAGATTTCAACTAAGGAAAAGCGTACCGCCTTTTTTAAAAAACAGATGCTTTGACGTGAGAGTTTTTGATTGAAAATTTGATTTTTTTTCGATATTAAGTCAAAATAAGGTGGAAAAATACATATTTAAGGGGAACACTTAGTGTGAAGTTTTCAAAAATTACGATAGTTTATACCTTTACAAATAACATACTAAAATTTCAAATCGATATCGCAAATATCTTTCGAGTTACAGCCATTTAGAAGGTAGCCGCTGAGTTTAATCAGCTATATCACAGTATTCTTTAAACAGTATTTTTCAAATCGCTAGCAAGGCTGACCAAAAACGAACAATATGTAGTGTACAATTAATTTTTTTAACGCCGCCATTTTGTTAAGTTTTGATTTTTTTTTTTTTGTGATTTTAGGTCATTGGACAAAGAATATCTTCTATTGTAGTTTAATGAGAATTTTGAATTTATTTTTAGCTATTATCCACGGAGAAGGCCGGAATCACTGCAGCAGTGGAGGAACTCGTATAACTAATAACAAAATATATTTTTAAATATTTTCCAAATTTCCATTTCCAAAAAATCAACTTTTTTTAAGCTCTCAAAAAATATTTAATTTTTTTTAAGTTTCAAAAAATTGACGTGTATTAGGCTGTCATTTTAGGTGTGCCTCTTAAATAAAAAAAAATGCAGTATATTTAGGACATAACACACTAAGTTGACACCAAGTTGTGCAAGTTGAAAATAGAAAACCCAAAAAACAGGGTTATTTGAATTTTTCACATACATTTTGCGGTTATGTAAATAAGGTGTCAGTCAATACACAAGTTGTATATCTTTTTGTTACCAACAACTTTGCTATAAAACTTTTTTCCTTAGAACTCCTGGTTTTGCCAGAAATTTAGTTAAATCGTTTTTAACTCTTAAAAATGCAACCACGCCTCTGCCCTTCATCTTCCCGACCCCAGATCACCCGTAAATAATTTTTCGTTTTATTTTTGTTATTTTATCATCCTTTTCCTACTACGATTTTTTTAAAGCATTTTTTTGCTTTTCAAAAATTATCTACCCTGGTCTATATAGTTGTAACGCTCCTCCGTAAAAACGTTAATGGTCTACCATAATTTCACCACAGCAAAGGCTTAGGCATAACATTTTTTACTTTTTTATCATTTAACTGTTCGATCGTATCATGGTATTAAACTATTAACTGCTAATAAATTGAATGTTATGCGCTGAATGATAACAATCGGCGCACTTAATTATATGCAAACGTAGAAAAATATATGGAAATAATTACGACCTCTCTCTGTCAATTACTGTTAATGAATTTTATGTACAATAGTACTCGTATACCCCTGAGGGTGACGCACTCACAACCGAATCAAATGATTTCAGTTTTTAATATTTATAAATACAATAAGTATTTTTTTATAAAAAAAAAATCAGCGCAAAAGGTTTACAGTTGTTTTCTGATAACAAGTAGTAGTAGTACAACAAATTACTATGTTTAGACATTTCAGTTTGATGGATTATTTGTTTAGCTCACCTTCATTTTTCTTTATTTAGTCACACCGAAATATGATAACAATTACTATACGTACTTATGATATCTTATCTGTGGAATTTATAATCACAAGGTGTTGGAAAATAAAGTGCACAAATCACCAAAAAAATTATATAAATGCGAAAGCGATAATTTGCGATTTTTTTAGTATTTACTGATAAAGTTGTTTTAAAAAGCAGAATGAGGTAATATTTTTAATTATATTTGAAAAACTCAATAATAAGCAAAAGAAAAAAGGAGAAAATATAATACAAAGAGGGCGTTATAGACAAAACTTTATGTGACAGTAGCGACAAGGCGCATTTTGTCGCCAACTAGCTATGGTCTATTGACAGCTCGAGACTAGCTAGTTAATGAGACGGACAAAAAAAAAAATTTTGTAATTAAAATACCTTCAATAAAGGAAACAATAAAAATTAGGCAACTTGCCAAACCATACTAGAAATACATATCGACTCAGCGAATTTCATTTTATCCCGTTAATGAAATAATATTATCGCTGATTTGCTTTGTTTCTACAGTTATAATTAGCCTTAGTAACAACAACACTTTTGAAATATTTTACGAGTGCCGTTATATGCACATATATTTTATGTAATTTCTTATACAAGCCTTATCACTATTATTTTGAGTACTAGAAAATTATGTTTTTGGGTTCAATTTTACAGAAATTGATGTAAACATATTTTTTTTAATCTAATTTTCCAAAAATTGATTTTGAAATTGAATTTAAATATAAAATTACATAATATGGACAATTTATGGTAGTAATCTGATAACATGGTTTGGAAAAATCGACTGTTTTTCGAAGGTACTACATATCAACTTATCACTTATATACAATTTCTCCTTATACATAATTTCAATATGTTATTCTACTCATCAAAAGCTCTTGCAGGAACTAGGATGCTTTGTTATCGCTAACTTTTCATTTTGCAGCCCAATTTCTACTTTAAAAAATTTCACTTTTTTTCCAAGTTAACCATTTTTTATTTTTCAACGAAATTGTTTAAATAATCCATCCAACCAGAATTACAAGCTTACAGAATAATAATCTTTTTAATTCTTCTATTTCAGATGTCCTCAAGCGACCATATCACCGGGGCCAGCTACCTCCTTTTTTTTTTGAGACGCTCACTTCAGTGCTAAGAACAACAGATTTCAAAAAAAAGTCAAAAATAATTTTTGTACACTCTGAGATACTATTATTAATATATTAAAAATGGAACTGATTGAATTTAATTTTTTCCAAATAAAATATATCCAAAAAGCATTAAAAAAATGACACACAAAAAAAAGAAGTTGCCACCCTACTATATTACCTTAAGTTCTGAAATAGAAGCATATTTTTTAGGTCTTTGGAGACCACTTTGTGAGACGCAATTCAGTCGCCGTTCACCACGCGACTTCTTTCTAATACCTACATTTTTCAATTCGTGATATCATTCGAATGAAATATCCGAATCAAATTTTTGTAGATAAATAAATACTATGAAAATCGTAGTACATTATTTTGTTCTATAATCAATAGTGTTCGGAGCGCTCGCGATAAAAGAAAGTTTTTAGGTAATTATTAGGTTAATATTGGCGTTTTAGTTTCCTTATAATATAGCCTAGGCTCACCAGAAAGAGTGTAGTTTCATAACAGGGAAAGAATTTCTTAAATCCTTCAAATAGTTTCGGAGCTAAATCAGTTCAAACAAACAAACAATTAAATCTTTCCTCTTTATAATATTAGTATAGATTGTAGATATAGCACATATGTACATTAGGGTGAGTCAAAAACCCGAATGTCTTTTTTTACGCTTCGTACTCTAAAAATTAGTTAATATACAACTCTAGGTTTCCTATTTTTTTTTTTTATCAGATAAAAAATGCATATCTCGCTTTCTAATTGAAAAAATAGCTCGTTTCATAGATTTTGAAGAAAATTTAATGCTTTGCAAAATGGTATCTAACAGTTTTTACGTAAACTTAACCATTTAAAAGGTATTAAAGGTTGAAATTGTCTATTTTGAAGCAAATTTGTTTTTTTTCTTTCGAATTTTATAATTTAATGAAAAAAATAATAATTTTGAATTGCAAAGCTCATAGTCTCGTAGGAAATTTTCTGCTCTACAAAAAATATTCAGTATAATTTTTCGATTTAGTTAAGCGTTAACGAGATATTCATCGTCAAACATCAATGCTTATCAAAGGAAACCCCAAAAAAAACTTAAACAAAAACACAAAAAGGAGAAAAAAAGAGAGACAAGTAAGTGTCTATTTTTCAGAGCACGAAGTGGAAAAAAGACATTCGATTTTTTTTTACCCACCCTAATGCACATAAATGTATATAGTATAGCTCCATTCACTGATTCTGACCAACGTGTAGCATCCAACTAGAA